GCTTTCCAGCCACCACATGTCACTCATCTCGGCTTTGGTTTTAGTAAAAATGCATTATTCCTAAACAAAAACCAACTGAAAAAAACTCTATAGAAGCAAACCAATACAAGTAAAGAACTGCATGCACATGATCCCCAAAAGAATATTCTCGAAAAAGCTGCATACAATTTTGATATTGCATAGTATCATTTAAACCAACATTATCATGTTGTTCTACTTTATTCAGCCCCAAGAGCCTCCACACTTCCTGACCACATCCACAGTCTAGCAGGATAACAAACTCTATTTTCCCACACAGTTTTAAACGACTTAATTGTAGGTGGGCTAAAGCTAATTTCTTGATATGCTTTCTATATCAGAAAAGTTACCTAAGTCCATGCCCAGTTCTTAAGGTATAATGGGCCAAAATCCTTGGATGTAAATGTCCATGATGCACAAACTAAACATGTGGCTATGTAATAACCAAGATGGGATGATTTTCTTTATTTCATGCTTCTTGAGAGATTTAGAAGTGTGACACTCAATTAAATTTAATTAGAAAAACAAAGGTTGAGAAATAATCACTTCATTTTAATTAAAAAAAGAGACAGGGCTGCTGTTTCATCTCTAATGTCAGGGGTCAATTCTCAAACTCCTCCATCCAAATAACAAATTCATCCAACACTTTTAAAATCATTGCTCCAACTTCTTTCATGTGGCAACAAATCCTCCTTCCACCTCACTCAAATTATGTAAAGTGTCTTAACTTCTACCAATTAAACTTACTATTTTTGGCGTCTACTAGGAGCCAGGCCCAGTAAATACCAAGTAAAGAATCTTATAAATGTCTGGGGCATATACCTGAACGTTAGAGTGTGATTCAGTCAATATTGTTCTACATCATTAATAAAAGAAATTACATTTCTGCAGATGAAATAGAAAAAAAATCTTCAGTTGTAGGCATAGCAGACCTAGTTTCTAACAGTCAATCATTCACTTAAAATTACTGCTAAAGTGATTTACTAGTACATTTTGAATATCGTGAGGACTTAATGTAACATAAAGACCATGTTTATAATCTGATAAAAAACATTCAATCATATACACAAAACAAAGCTATGGGACCCTTTTAAAACAATTTAAGAAATGAAAATGATAAACTGACTGCTGAATCTAAACTATTTTAAGACTCATCTAGTCTTTAAATAAATCACAGTGCATCAAATTAAGATGGTTAGAATGTTCCAATTTCTCATCTCTCGTATGTTTCCTAGCCTTGGGGTTTTCTGATATCAATATGTTGTTCAACATGCATGCCAAGAAATGCACTTGTCCACGATGCGATGAGTTTCATTGTAATTTTTCAAAGCCAAAGTTATTGGAAAAGCAGAATCTCTGATGAATTCTCGGATAATAAATTAAGTCAATGTACAGGTACAATTCTTATTTAGGGATGACTAGGGAATAGTTAAAATAATGTTCCATCAAATGCCACAAATTTTTCAGTATAAAATGAAAAATAAACTAAATATTCAAAACCTAATGAAGTTAAAATTGAGTTAAGCTTGGCCTTCTAATGCAAAATAATGTACCTCAAGACGTGGGGTTTCATTTGTGCGTTGTGAGTGAGAGGTTTGGCTGCCTGCACCATCAGATGTCATGGTAGATTCTGAAAGTTCAAAAATCATATCCAATTAGTCATAAACAAAGTCAAATGACTGGCAAAAAGTACTCACGCAATCTAATGCCTCCGTTCTAAAAGTATGTTTTAAAGGGTTACAAAGACATGTGGAAGACACCCTATTAAGGAATGGGCAAGCATAATGTTCAAATATGAAATACTTATGCATATTCATTTCTCAACAATATATATATTCACATAATCATCTCATTCATCACATCAAACTTTAAAGAAGAATTATCCAACAATTGTTAGCACTTAGCACTACCTAACCTCCATAAATTATTTCTCGAGTTCCACAGTTTCTCCCACCATCAAACAATCAATTTATTCTGATCCCCGCCTTCTAATTAACATTTTATTTCCAATCACGCATATATCGATCCACAGCTTTGCTTAGTGAAAACATGCAAAAATAAAACATGATATGCACAACAGCACAGCGAACAATTTCCTTACCAGTATCGATCACCAAAATAAAAATTTTCAAGAGACATCGTAGCAAGTTGTATCAACCACAGGTTAAAATCAACAAAAATCATAAACAGTAATTTTAAATGTTCTTTCCCAAGAGTATATAACAATACATGTATAGAAAGAAAAAAATCTCCAATCAACCTACAGAAACCTATACAGCTGTCAGCATATTCCTCGTATTATACCGCAAGCTATAGAGAAGAAATGAACATCTCAATGAGCTTCCTGCTGTTGCTAGGTAACTGATGGCTTCGAGCCTGATGTCATCAGAAGATCTCTATCATAGTAGATGACAAGTACTTCATAGACATTTTTATCACCATTTAGTAGAAAATTAAACTATAAATAAAGAGTTACTTCTTAGTATAAATCAAGGTAAGAAATACCGAATAATACCGCTCGGTACGGGCGATACGTACCGGTCCGACGGTAAACCGGTACGCGGACCGCCCATTACCGGGCGAAACGAATAATAATATTAATATATATATATATATATATATATATTAGAAAAAGGCTCGGCGACGTCGCCGAGGCGATGCGACGTCGCCTTTTAAATAAATAAAAAATATATTTATAAATATATATATATATATATAATATATATACCACTCGGTATACCGTTCCGTACCGTACCGAGCGATAGTCGAAACTCCGATACGATACGAAATTTCAGACCTTGGTATAAATTATATTTCACATAGAAGTGGCACCTGACCTTGAAGTGAATTTTCTTCAACAAAAGATGCACGGTACTGCCTAGATGTGTGTCCCCGAAGACCACAGGGTGAATCATCTCTTGATTCTTCAATCTCAGAAGGGTCGCATTTCTCATCTTCGTCAAAAGAGTCAAAGGTCACAACTTTTTTTGGAGCAGGTGCTTTAAATCCCATATCCCCCTTCTCTCTTTTTATACTAGCAAGAACATCCAAACCTGTTGACAGCATTATCAATAGTTCCAAAGTGTTAATGAACATTACTGTGCAGGACATGCATAATTCTCAGTTTCTCACCTTCCAACATGAAGGCGATGATAACAGTAAAATAGATAGACATGCATACCCAAATTTAATTTTCTCTCTGGGGGTCTATACATTACTCTTTCCTGCTGTGGCAAGTACAAACCTCCCCTGATGCTTGTTTCAGGTTCCAAGATAGTGGTTGTTGAGTTTATATCGATAACCTTTTTCACTTCCTACATTGATCAAATGGTGCACATGCAAATCCAAATGAAGTTGTCTAGTCAGAAGTATACCGAGAAAAAACACAAGATCATAGGAGAATGTATGTTAAACCATGAAAAGAAATGGACTGGATAATTAATAATAGTTTAATAAAAGCTGAATATTAATTTAAAGCTCACCTCCATAGTAGTTCTTCCACACGCTACTTGTGATGTGAAACGGATATTATCTGCATATAATTATGATATAATAGCATTCAATTAGAAAGCAGAAAGAATCAAGGTCTGCCGTACCGAAGTGTACCGCCCGTACCGGGCGGTACATACCGGTCCGACAGGTTATCAGTACGCGGACCGTCCGGTACCGCTATAGTGCTACAGTACTATAATGTAGCACTGCTACAGTGTGAAAAAAATAAAAAATATTTGGTACACCAAGGCGTACTGCTCGGTATGCCCTGATGTACCGCCCGGTACACCGGTACCGTATCGTACCAAGCCCAAGTCGAAACACCGGTACGGTACAGTACAACGAACCTTGGAAAGAACCATAAATGTTAAGTAACAACAAATTATCAAAAAATAAATAACTTTTTAAAAACGAGTAAAGAGAAATATTCTATATTCTTATGAACGACCCCTTCAAAAAATCCAACCCAAGTTTTTTTTTTTCTCAAAATCACTCAAGAACAAAAGATGATATCATAAAAACTTAAGTGGCAATAAGTGTCGTTACAAGAAACATGCGCTAGATGGAAGAACCCCCTTCAATTTGCCCAATTTTTGTGTTTTCTCACAATTACTCGTAGCTCAATTCAAGAACAAAAGAACATATCATGTCCACCTAACCGGCACAAGGAATCGGACAAAGTAGCATGCACTATATTGAAGAAAGAGAGAAACATCCATCATCTTATTGACACTAACGGTCACCAGACTCTGAATTGGCGCTTCCGATTCATTTAATATAGGACCCTAAATATTTAAGTGTGAGAGCTGCATGCCACACAAAATGAACTTAGCATTTGAGGAAAAGAATTTATTTTGCTGCAAAGTAATTCACAAACACCAAACTACAGCGAAAAATAGTCTTTGTTTCAATCAACAAAAGATCTTGATATGCAAGCAGAAATATGGATCTCTCCATAACATTTATAATACCACATGCTTCCAAAATAAAATTCTGCAGAGACAAAAGTCTAGCATCATTAGCTCAACTCTGTATATCTCCATAACATTTATAATACCTCATGCCTCCAAAATAAAATTCTGAAGAGACAGAAGTCTAGCATCATTAGCTCAACTCTGCATAAAGCTCATTCCCTTATTGTACAAGATGAACCTTAATATTAAGCCTACATCTTCAGCCTACTGATCTGAAAGACTGCATATGCAGATTTATTTTACATTCTTTTATCTAACTCTCAATACTAGATGGAATCATTATTCCACAGATATAATATAACATAATATTCCATGAGCTACTTTAGTTTTACACTGGAAAAGAAAGATCGAGTGCATGTGACTCATGCCAATCTGAGGTTCACATGGATCAAAATGTGAATTGAACGCTGGCATCCAAGTTGCAAAGATAAATTTTGCAGTGGTCAATGCATGACTTGAACCTTGCACTCAAATTTGAAAGAATCAATCTTCTTATATTTTTTAAGCAATCATCAAAATTTAGCAAAAATGAAGAAATGCTCTAAAATGGTTTATTTTGACCGGGAAAAGGATGCGTTTAATTTCAGAAGAATATTCAGATAGACTTTAGTAAAATATGTTCAATAAATATCTAGATGTGATTATGGGACTTAGAGGTAATATTGTATACATTAATTCTGACCACGCCCCACATTGATGAACCTCATTCCCTGGGTTTAGGCATAGTTTGTAAAGACATAGCAAGAGAGACAACTAAGTCCTGAACACTCTACCATCACACTACGAAAACAGTGGATTGTGCAACAAAACATGGGATCAGGTAGTGCTTTTGTGCCTCAAGACGAACATAACAAACTTCCGATGGACAAGGATAGCAACTGGCTTGATTTGGCAAAGTGATGAAGGAAACCAACTTGAATAAGAAGTTCGACGCATACTAGTAAAGGAAGATCAGTGATCCCATCTTCGAATGGCCAGTATGGATAAGAACTTGGCCTTTTAAAATAGAGGCGGCAACTGCTGTTAGGGAACAAAATTTTGCCATTCAAATGGTCTATAATTCGGGCACCATACAAACAGTCCATACGGATATATGATATAGAGAGACCCTTATCACTCCTACTAAAGAACCAAACATGCCCTTAAGCAAAAGGATGGCCAAGATGACACATTTAGGGAAAAAAATCAACAGTTTCAAATACTACTGAAAAATAAACTAGTTGCACAAGAAATACTAACAATGGAAACATCAACTTCAGGTACCCTAAGATCACATGACAAGGATTCATGACAACAGTGGGCGTACCAAATTAGGTAGCTTACTAGAAATAATTTGTTTTCTGTAAGAAACCAACATGCATATGGTTCAGGAGACAAATGATACAAAGATCTTTTGTCCTTGAGTAACTAACATGGATATAGTTCCAGCAACACAAGGACCAAAAGAAACTTCTTCCTGAAGTAATTGGCATGCATATGGTTGCAGAAGAAAATGCTACAGCTTTAAAACATTTAGAACTCATAAACAATCAACCGATTGCAGTAAATAAAGAAACCATCGCATTTATCCAAGATCTAAAGTTTTTTAACGGAACCACATCTCTTAATCTTCCTGTCGGATGACATAGAAACCATATAAACAGTCTCACTTGACACTTCCAGCATCGGACTAAAGGTACCACCCAAAAGAATTAGAGAACTAAAAGTCGCTACCATCCTACGGGAAAAGGCATATTCCCTAGAATAAAAGTAACAAGCAACCAACCGCATGAAACACTGCTAGGAGTGACCGAACATGTTCAACTAGTGTAATCAACCTATCAATTTCGTGTTGATTGTTCAATCAAAAACAGTTGCAACAGGGCCGACCAAACTTTACAGAAATATAGCGACGCATCCACACGATCATCACTCGATTCCACTGAAGAAACGATCTTTACAACAAATCAAACAGCACAAAATCCCAGATTAAACAAAAAATGTTTACGATGATCGACGATTACGCAGAACAGAAAGGGAACATAAAGATCACCGGTAATCGACCAGACACAACCTTTACAAGAAGGGGTAGAGAGAAAGGGACCTTTAACAACATATCTAACAGCGCAAAAAGCCTAAATTTGAGCAAAGAAACAATAACGATGATCGCCGATCATACAGAACAAAGTACGACACATTGAGTTCATCTACAATCGACGAGCCACATACCTAATCCATAGACGAAAAAGAGATCGACAAGAAAATAAATACGGACCTCGATCACAAAGTCCCACTGGTTAAGGCGGGGCTCCGTCGGCGACGAATGATGAGCGAGAAGTGCACCAGCTTATCGGGTGAGCCGAAGGCGCGATCAAGGGGCCCTGACCCTAGAATCTCTTCGCAGAGGATGAGAGGGGGACGGAGAGATCGAGGCGAGGAAGTATCCGAACGATGCAGGAAGGCGCAGGGAAGGGGCAGGGGGGTTTCGCAGCTTGTCGCAGAGAGCGCAGCGCGAGCCGCTCAGGAGATGGCAGGTATGCCTAGGGCTTATTTGCCACTAGACTCGCTTTATGGGAACTCTCTCAATTTTAATAAGCTAATTTATTAAAATTAGAACTCTATCAACTAATTTAAAGATAATTAGAACTCCTAAAAATACTTATCAATTTTAGCAATATCAATTATCAAATATGACCAAAAATTTGCTAGATGTGTCACATGAATAAAACGTCTAAAATATATATTCCCTTATTAATATGATGGACGATGCTTAGTTAAGCAGCCTTCTTAGGTATGTTTGGATTCAAACTAATATATAAAAAGCATTTGACGCCTACAAACAAACGTATACTAACTTGACATGAATTTTTGTTAGAAGAATTTTCGATGTAATCTTTTATTATAAAAAAATACTTGAAATATATATATATCTTTTTGCCCTCCAATCGAAGTGACAAAGGGACACGAATATTTGGAAAAATAAATCGATCAGATCAATTTTACTGAGACAACAAATCGACAATGAAACCTCACAAGATCACATTCCGTGCCGATCCATTCCCTCTTCTACGCACGAGAAAAGCAAGCAATATTTCCCGGTGAAACAAAGATATGCCATGAGACACACATCACAAGGTGATGAACGAAGTACTGCACAAGTAGTGATGTAATATTCCTTCACCACGTACATGAACCTCAACGTTCTTCTCATCTCAACCTCACCTTCTGCTGCCCCTACATTAACTCGTGCCATCTCGACGTCCCCATCATCTTCATCCGACAAGGCAAGACATGGAGGAAAACGTCTCTTCGGGGGGCGGGGGGGGGGGCGTCATGGGCGGACCAGTGGGACACCAGCGATCACGCCGACCTTGCCAAGGGGAAGGAGGAGAGCGAGAAGAAGAACAAGAAGAGCGGTGGAGGGTTGAAGAAAGGACCGGAGAAGACGAAGGCCGTGGCTTCGTCGGGCTTGAAGAAGGTGAAGGAGGGATCGAGCACAGAAACCGTTAATGGCAGGCACTCTCTCGATCGGGGAATCATCAAGAATCAAAACTTTAAAGGAAGAAAGAAAGAAAAAACATATGGTGATGAAGCATAGAATTAATGGGATCGTGTCAACATATAACTGATGAACTATACATTATATCTTGGCACTTCAACTTTGCTATTGGGGAGTTCTACTACCGGTTGCTTTGGTTTCTATGTTCTTGCTTTCGGAAACGTATGATTACAGCTACTTCTACTCTGGTAAGATGCGATGGGTGAGTGACACATGCTAGTGTAGTGTTACGTCTTATAATGTTTCCTCTTCTAACTCAAGTTAGTTAACCGCCCATTCGGGCAGCAGAAGCGGCGCCGCCGAACTCGTTGATCTCTCGAAGGGTGATGTCTGGTCCGCTTTTCGATGAACGAGCTACGACGGCTCCGACCGCTTAGCATGTCGGCAAACTCACCCTAGCCTCCGAGGATCTGCACGTACAAACGACGGCAACGTAGCCAGCGATCGACATCGGGTGACGGCATCGCACCAGTGGCCATTGGCGGAGCAGGAGGAGAGGGACGTGGACGAGGCGTGGTTGCCGATGCATGAATACGTGGCGTGGATGCCGTGTCATCTTCGTGTTGGAGTGGGCCAAGAGGACGCTCAAGGGCGGGACATGACCCGGGTTCAGGACTCGGTCTGGCAAGAGACCGGCTTTTTAGGTTGAACCGGACCATCTCAACAAAATGAAAATAAAATATTTGATAAATAAATAAATATTGATGTCTTTATGTGAAGATTTCATTTGGTAAATTAACATAGGCTAAAATCTAGAGATACAAGATTTATTTATAAAATAATTTAATCTTAATTTTTTGATTTTTTTTAATAAGAATTCCTTCAAAATTTCATATTAAAATTCTTTTATTTTTTAAGATATTTGACTTCAAAATTTTTAAATAATATATATGGATTCTAATAAAAACAATATAATATTAACAAGGACTTCTATCTTGATCAAGGCTATTAAACTAATCTATTGCCTAATCACAAAGTTTTAAATTAACATTCTAATATTATTATATAAAAATAATTTTTATAAAAAAAATTAAAAAAAAATTATGAAATCTTTGAATCCTAAGTCACAAATCCACAATAATTATTGATTAATTATAAAACTCTAATATACCTTGAACTAGTTTTATCAAGATTCTTAAATGAAATTTCTAAATATAAAATCAATCTTATTAATACAGTCATATGTGAACTCATCATGTTTTATAGCTTCTATATTTTGAACAATGATGTTCTTCACGTTGGCATCAACAAAATCTTCTTTTGGACCCTCGATTACTAGCTTGTATGTCTTTGCAAGTTCATCCTTTCTTTAGAAAGGTGATAAAAACCCTCTTATGGTTCTAATAAATATAAAATCAATTTATTTATTTAAAATAGTATACTCTAATAAAATTCATATTGTCTACGATACAATCTGAATATTGTCTTTATTATCGAGGGAATTCATCTGAAAGAAAATCTTGGTTTTTTTGTTCATGTGAAACGCAAACTCCTCCTAATTTATTGGAGGAAATATACCTCTCTTTCTTTAATATCTTCTAAAATCATCCAATTTCCTCTTGTAGTATTTACTCGAAATTCATTTGTTATCGTTCGAGAGATTAACTTTAATGTTATTTTATTTTATTCTATATTAAAACCAACTCTTGTGTTTTTTTTTCTTCGAAGAGTAAATCAAAATTTTTATCATCACCAATCACATCTTTAAAAGCATCTTGTGATCTAAGAAAGGTTTCATCATAATTCTCTTATCCCCAAGAATCTATTCTATAAAATTTAGTTAATAACTAGATCCAAAGTAACTCATAAAATTCGTCGTCAATACCTCTTAAGCTAATCTTCTATCTCTCTCTAATCATAAAATTTAAGTTAATATTTCAACACTAGAAAATGAAATAATCGCTAGGGAGGATCAAAATGAACTCTTGTGAAGGAAGGACAAAGCATTTAAGATGTGATAGCTTTAAGCTGTGAAGCAAGCATGGCTTGTGGTTGGTTCTATTACATCTTAAATGCTTTGTATCCATTCTCAAGCGTCCATTTGTTGTATGGCCTTTCATCTTTCCAATAAATATTCCTTAGTAATAGTATGAGAGGTTTTTTTTTACGATCGATTCTCAATTTTAATTTTTAAAAATTTTACTTAAATTTTTATTGAGTTATCGATAGTCATTACGTAAGACTGTAAAACTATAATTTTCAAATATATCGAATCGAGGGCATTAGTACTATACTATGCAATGCGAGTGATCTTATTAGCGAGGAGCAGTGCCTCCTAAGTTTCATTCCACACCATCAAATGAAAGCTTCACAAAAAAAAAAATATATATATATATATATATATATATATATATATTTATTTATTTATTTTCATCCGCGTCAATGTAATCTAAGAAGCCGGTCCGTCTCCAGACGGAGTCACGGAGCATAGTCAGGTCTCTTCCCTTGAGCGTCCTTCCCCGCCCCTCCAACACCGAAGGCGACGCAGCATTCGCATGCAGGCGCTCCAGGTACACATGCGGCGGCAACCACTCCCCGGCCGGCTCATCCTCCTCCCGCTTCGACGATGACAGGCTCGAAGCCGGCACGGCCACTGGCGCCGACGTCGCCACCCGTTCCCGTTCCGGCTCGCTCGGCAACGTCTGGGCTGTCGCCGTGACTACGTGCGTATCCCTGAGGACCAGGGAGAGCCCGCCGGCGTCCTGGTCGACCGAGCGGCTGGAGCTATCGCCGCTCGTCCGTCGGTCCTGGTTGCGGCCTTCACCGTTGTCACCGTGGCAGGCGGACCATACGTCGGCCTCCGAGAGATCATCGAGGTCCGCGCCACCGCTTCCGCTGCCGGAGTGGGAGGTCTCCGGGGCAAAGCCCTTGCTCATGATCGTCTCGCCAGTCGTGTACTCCTTTCCGGGCCGACAACACACGTCAAAAAATCCTAGCGGAGAATCACACGGTGGCAGGAGAAGGTGCTCCGCTATTTGTAGGCCAACCCTTTCGCCTCATTCGGGGCGGGATTCACTGTGAACGAGCTCGAGGGCCGCGCCCCATTCATCTCCCCGAAGCGGGCCCTCCCACTGATGTCTCCTGTCGGGTTCATCCCCCAAAGTGGTGGCCCACACCTGCGTTTGCCCGTGCCGGATCCGTTTCATCATCCACCTGCATGCTTTTGAGATTTCACGACGTCCACCACCACGTCACCGGCGAAGCCATAAACCGAATCACTATATGTTATGACCAATTTTTGGAGGGCACGTCGATTCCGTACGACAACAGAGGGAAGAATCGTAGATATGCGGTCACCATTATGAAGTGTGACGCATGCCGTGTCGTTTGGTTTGCTTATTTGTGATGTAGCTATATTCACTCTCTAGTTTGATATGCATATCGCCGTCACATTCCCCTTTGTCGATAAGTTATGTTCGGTCACTCTTAAGTTCAGATAGCAGATTCCTTTTCGAGCTATGCTGACTAAATTTTTAGAGATACAATTTAGATATGAGGCTATCTATATGTGTAATCAAAGCTAACTTTGGAAATTGCTCTAATTCGAACTCATTTATGATCAGTATTTCTAAGTGGTGGTTAAGAAAATTATACCTAAAAAAGCAGATATCCAATGGCGCACCGGTTTTTACGTAGGGTGTAATTTGACGAAAATATCCTCCGTCAGCCACCCATCGCGAGTGGTGGTGACACCCCGTCACCACGAGCGGCGTTGCTCCATCCGCCTTCACCACGGCTTCCGCCCCGCCCCTCCTCGTCACCGTCGCTACCTCCTCCGCGACCTCCGGCCCCACTCTTTGCCTTCCGGTGCCACCGCCGCCCCGCCCCTTCTCGCTGGCGGCGGAGATTACGCCACCAGCTCTCTGCCCTCGGTATCGCCCTCTCCACATCCCCCGCTCGCCACCGCTCGCGATGGGCGATCTCGCCGAAGGTCGACGGGTGGAGAGCTCGGAGAGGCCAACGGTGATTGGTGGACGGAGGGGGGAGCAGAACGAAGGGAACGTGATCGATGATGATGACTCGAAGATGGCAGGCCTCCGCCAGCGAACTCTTAGTTAGTAGCAGCTGGTCCCCTAGAGTGCGTCTTGTTGACATAAATTGAGGCTAACTTATGTGGGTCACGTTGTCTACGGTACCACCGGAAGCCCCACCGAGGCACATCATGGTGGGGAGCAGCATGAAGCTGCAGAGGGAAGAAGAGAGGTGTCTGCCTTTTTTGCGCTCATGCAAAGTCCTAATTTTGGCTATTCTAGAATAAATTTATAGCTGCTCAAAGCTCAACTCCTCGGAAGATCACTCCGACTGAGGCCTTTTAATCGTATTTTGGGATCTCTCATCGGGTTCTTTTTCATTTTTGTTTGTATTCATTTGCCATGAATGGGGAGGAGGAGGCACAAGTTTGAGGTGGGATTGAAGTATTGCAGGGATCGCATATGAGTTGGTGCAACGAGCAATTAATCAAAAGGAAAATAAAAGGTAAACTTGGAAACATAATAATGCAGCATTAGAAGAAAAGATAGGAGTACTGTTACGTCCATCCATAAAGGGTTTAGGGTTTAGGAGGGGACGATATACTATTTCCACACTCAGAAAGATGAATACGTGAAACACTTCAATTTTATAGAAAGAACAAATGACAGGCCATGATAGCCGGATATCCTTGCTTGCAATAAGACTTGAGAGACAAAAAATATATAATAATGACTACAAAATAATCTTGCATCTCTCTCTCTCTCTCTCTCTCCCTCTTTATGGGTAGATTTCAAGGACCTTTTCATCTCTTATGCAAACCTCTTCCATTTCTATCCAATGCAAGACTGCGAACCGAATCAGCAGAGATCAGCAGGTGTCCAAGCATTGCTTTCACCTTTAGGAGAGAAGGGGTTCCTTCTTGTCCTCCCACTTGTTCAATCTCTTCTTGGCCTCTTCCACCTGCATGCAACACAAAACTGCCTCTCAATTCCAGCGTAAATAACATGCAAGAATTCGAGGTTATCTCGATTCTTGATTTGGTTGCAGTAACCTTTGAGATTACCTCCTTGTTCCAATCAGTTCGGAAAGTGACCCACAGAAGAATGAGAGTCTGCATGAAGGTCCCTCCAATCATTCCTCCCCAAATTCCCTGCATCGGAGCCATTATCCATGATATTTTACTTGAAGGAGCTGTATCTTTAATCTACGCAAGCTTTTACCTTTGCCCCCAACCCAAACTTGAAGCCGAGAAGAGACCCAAACGGAACGCCAATTATATAATAGCAGCCGACGTTGACGTATGCCACAAAAGCTTGCCATCCGCAGCCGACAGCCACACCTTCAATTATGCGCAGATGATCACACCGATTAGATTTTCTCTAGCAGCAGAAATAAGTGGAAGCGTCCATGTCTCTGTATTTGATACGTCGAGACTCTTGTTGCAGGAGCAAGTTCTTTACCGGATAGAACAGGTTGGATGCCATTGAGAATGAGGGTGGTGGCGAGCAAGGGACAGAGATCGGAGACGGCGCGGGCGACGACCTCGCCGTCGGTGAAGGCATAGCTGATGTAGTCTCGAAGGCAAAGGATGATGATGGCGGCGATAACAGATACTATGAAGGACATCACCGTCACAACGACCACCGAGAATGCCGCCGACTTCGGATTACCAGCACCGAGCTCATTGCTTACCCGCACACTGTATGGATTAGAAATAAGTAATCATTCGAGGAAGTGAAATCTACTTCTTTCCCACCACCTGCATATTTATTCCTAACCCTAAAGCAAAAGCCGGTTTACGTGCTAAACTAATGTCTAATTACAAGAAATAAACATATTGGAACCTAACCATTCATCATTTTGAACACATTATTGATTTCAAGAATCAACAGAACTGTTGTATATGAGCTACGAATCCAATGGAGACAAAGAGATTGTAAGTTTTGGTGCAGAGGGAAAGAGAGAAAGCGACGACTGACCTCGCGGCGGCATTGAATCCAACAGATATCATAAAAATCCAACCTGAAAGCGTCATACTGCACCAACAACGAGATAACAAGTAAGACAATCTTTACGACAAGATCGTAAAACGAAATCTTAAAGTATGCTAGCACGAGGCATCTACTCTGCAAATCTTGGTTACAGATTACACTGCTCAACAGCGCGCATGATTGGCTTCAGGCGTAAATTTCTGATGGAACCGACACAGACTGTGGGACCAAAAACCATAGAACTGTGCTTCCGAGATAGCTTTATTCTGATCATCATAATCCGACATTGACGACCCCATATATTGCCATCCGGTCGCCAATATAATCCAGCGCTCATTCATTATATGATGCCTTGTCCGAAGAATAGTGTCATCCTTCATATCACTGGACGGTGGAGACTCGCAAGGTACTGACGTTGACAAGTCGTTCCACCATAAGGTACTGTATGAACGAGTGATGGACTAGAGAAGGTTTGGCTATGGTGAGGTTGTTCTAGGCGCAGAGCAACTTCCATGTCCTTGGACCTCTGGCAGTCCACTGCAAGTTTCAAGTTTGACTGGATCTAATCTTGAAATATTTTTTGAAAGCATGAGGAGCTGATCCAAGTTGATTGGACTATTTTAATTTAAGCTGGTGAAAAATATGAAAGCAGCACTTCACTCGTGTCATTTAAACTAAAGATGATCTCGTGTTGGGTTCAGAAACATATTTCATAAGACAGTAGTTTATATATACATTAAAGGAACCAACCTTTGGGAATAGTTCCTATATATATATATATATATATATATATATATATATATATATAGGTTATATGCATGTAAATTAATTAATATATCAGGGATTAATTAAGCAGATGGTATATTGCATCAGTGAAAGGGAAAGAAGAAGGGTCAAGTGCTTACCACACGGATAGGGAATCAAGGGCGAGTTCAGGGTTATCCAAAAGTCCAGCGATGAGAACCAGGATCTGGAAGTACCAGGCCTCCAAACACAGCATCACCGCGGAGGCTATGGACAGCCGGAAGAACTCCGGAAGGCCGGAGAAGGCCTGCCAGGTGAACCCGGTCCACGTGAAGTGGCATCGGCTGCTGGAGGAGATGTACACGAACTGAGCACCCACGATGATCCACCACGACAGGCTCAGCGCCAGCGAGGCCCCCAACAGTCCTAGGCCGATCTTGTACACCACCACCCAGCTGAGGAGCAGGTGCACCACCAGCGTCGCCGCCGAGATGTAGGCGCTCGGCGCCACGATGCTCTGCGCCTGCAGGAACTTCTGGATGGGGAAGTTGGCGGCGTACGCGAAGATCTGCGGGATCAGCCCGTAGACGAAGATGGACGCCGCCTTGGCGATCTCCGGCGACTCACCCAGCAGCACAAGGATCGGCCTCGATAGGGCGTAGATCGCGGCCAGCGGCACGCCGGTGGCCATGAGGAGCACCGTCGACCGCTGCAGGTATACCCCGAGCATCTCGTACTTGTGGGCGCCGTACGCCTGTCCGCATAGTGTCTCCACAGCACTCCCCATCCCTAGCTGCACCCAGTCCAAGCAAGTCGCACATGTTCCAGTCACTCCACGACGATGATCATAAATATCACAGTAAATAATTGCAGAAGAGACAGAAGAAATAGTAGGAGGATGGTCGAACGATTTAGATCAAGGAGGGAGAGGTCAATGAATTACCATCAGGCCATAGGCGAAGATTTGGATGCCGGTGTTGCCGAGGGAGGCGGCGGCGAGCTCGAGGTTGCCGAGATGGCCGGAGAAGATCTGGGTGGACATGGACATGACATAGTTGAGCATGTAAACCATCACGGCGGGGGCGGCGAGGTAGACGAGCAGCTTCATCTCGACCAGGGAGGCCATCCATATGCGGCGAGCCCAGGGGATGGAGTTATCGCTCAGGATGCTCTCCAGCTTCTGGCTGGCCCCGCTTTCGGCAGCCATGGAAGTCGGTAGAGAAGGGAGGAGAGCTTTTCCAGGGAAGCAGCAGAGCCGCCCAAGCTACATATTCATCATCCGATGAGGATGTGGTCTTCCTCTGCCTGTCCACCAAGATTAATGGTGGAATCCTCGAATAAGACCAGGCCTTCTTTATTGTTTCTCTTTCACTGTCAGCGGCGTTCCATGTTTTGTTGTGATTGAAGTCACTGCCTACGTTTGCAGGGCTACAGAAAAATAGTTGAGAGGTGTCCTTTGGCCAAGTTTGTGGCCAATAACACTTGAATGTGATAAATAATTTATGGCTGTGTTTGAGACATTGAATATTCAGATTAAGGGTTGCTCGAGTTCGATTTTGCAGTACAAGATTTGACTGCCATCGGTGAAACCCTCGAGCTCGTAGTGACTTAAACCACAGGTGGATCACTTCTTCTGCCCTCTTGGTAATGTCTTAAATGACTACACGTCAAGATCAATGAGAAAGAGCTAAATCAAACCCCTACCTTGCATGGCCATGTGTTAACGAAGCTAACACAGTGAGATGGAGGTTGATTTAAGTGCGGTTAAACCTCATCCTCTCTCGACAGGACAAGGAGAATGCATTCAGGATTGATCGGATCCATTATCCCATCCTCGACCTCGAAACAATTCATGATCATCTACGATCGGACAGGAGCCCGCCATCTGCCATATTTCCGTCGCAAGAAAAAGTGATCAATCATGGAGGTCATTGAACGCATACGTGAAGGAAAGTGATCGATCATGTAGGTCATTGAATGCATACGTGAAGGAAAGTGAGCAATCATGGAGTGATCGAAGGTCTGAGTAGTACATCAAGAAGGGCTCGGGGCATCTGCTATTTTCCTTTCGTCTGGCTCAAGAAGGTGACATCCATTACTGTGGGTTGGCCTACACTTTTCGATGGAATGAGACAATCTAAGAGGTCGAATTTCTCAATGGGCATACAAAAACTTCGAGAACGGATCTAACATGTGGATGATCAGATATCACATCATTGTCAGTATCACTTCGAGTCGACTAAAACTATTCACTAAGTTGATACGATGTATGATTGTGCCAACTATAACATTTTGATTGCTTTTCATTATTCAAATGACATCTCCCGTATCACTGTCGTACAAATTAAAAGTGAATTCACTTTCTCCTAACCATGCTGAGAAACTAATTAAGATGCCTCTTTAGCTAATATTCTATTCAATCTTTCGAACCCTTCAAAGCCGCTTACTCGTTTAGAGCATTACGTGTCTCTAATGTCGGTTCTAAACTGACTTCGAATCTCTAACATATCATACAATCAGAATCTATCTTAGCAGAATGAATCTCAAGTTCTCCTTACCTTAGACATATAGATGTGAGAAACCCTAGGTTGCAACCTAACTATATTGACACTAATTACTGTATCACGAGGAGGAGAGAGAGAAAAGAATGAGAAAAATGCGATTAATACACGACTCTAAAAATAAGAATAGTGAATAAGGAATTATTATATTTATGATCAAATCTCAGTCATAAGTCTTAGGAGATGGATGATTTAGATTAGGAAGGCGCCAAAAAGCTTATGTTTCCTTGATGTTTTTACTTCTCAATCAACAAGTCAAATTAGAGTTCAATTTTTCTCGAGCTCTATATATATGTGGGTTGAGTCGAGTTCAAACAACCCTCACTGTCGAGTAGATTGTCTCGGTTCGAGCCCGTCTTGTATGCCCAATTTTAAAGGAATCTTTCATCCTTTCTTCCTCAACAGTGAAGTATTTTTTATGGGCCTTCTTGTCTTCTGCCGCCATGACATGAGCTCATTGTCTTGTTGGATCATATAATGTGAATTGTCAAAGATTCAGAAATCATAACCTCAAAGTTAGACGCCTTCATTGATCTTCTAAATGAACTATCAGAGATGAAGGCAAGTCATCTCCGGGGAAGGTGTTGAGTGGGGGGGGCTATTACGTTCACATATGATTTGCAGATCATGCAGTGATGTGCTCCTGCTGACCGTACTACACATATGTTTGTCTTGGAGCACAGAACTTTTCTGAATGGTATGCATATTAGCATCTTTTGCATTCTTCCGTAGGTACATGGAACAACAACAAGACAATGATTTGTTTGTGGATCCTCGCTCTCTTGCAGCAAATGGAATTTTTAGAGTGCTGGACTTCAAAGGTTTTCTTCTCCTTGGTTGACGTGGCAACAACTCATGAAGCCCAACCATGAATCATGCAAGTTTTTTCCTTCCCTGGTCACCTCAGTGGATACAGATGCTAGTAGATCCTATTAAGCACACATCATGAACTTTATACTTGAACTTTGAGGAGGGCAACATGCAAAGAGTTTATGCATGTGTATACATAAATTTCCAGGTTTTAGACATACCTTGCGCTAATCACCAAGCTCAGCTTACCCGTTCATGTAAGTGGTCTCTCAATAGCAATCAGCTTCTGTTCTTGTTGTTGAGTCATTTGCATATGTTAATTAAAGACTTGCGTAGCAAACAAAATTAATCGGTCTCCTATTTATTGCAGTGGTGCCAAATTTATATCATATCATTTTAGAGGCTTTAGTTATGTGTCCTTCCATGTTGGTGTGCTAGTTTTGGCCCCATCTGAACGCCAAAAGTCGTGTATGTCAGCTTCGTTGTTGGTGTTCCATTATCATCATCCTCATTGGCTGCGTCTATTGGAGCCTTTCTCCAATCCCAACTGTTCTTTCTATATAATATTTTATGTCTAATAGAAAATAAGTGACATTTCATCTACATTGGCTCTCTTTACTTAAGTACGTGATGGGTGGAAAGTTTGTAAACCTTTATACATTGTTGGTGTACTAAATCATGACAGAAAGAGAAAAAGAAAGGGTGCCAAGTTAGAGCGACTTGTTTATGTTTTTTGCTGCTCTCAAGGGTGGTTGACATGAAGAGGAGAGAGTGCCTTATCATACTAAACCTGATGACCTTTCATTCCTACAACATAAAACATCTCCTGAGATGTGAAATTTTGATTTTGGGCAGATTTTATTTTCTTCCCCTTCGATCTTCATGCCATATAAATACTCAACACCACACCAGAAATATACTTAATTTTTATGATCTCCCATGTTTGTGGGTGTTACAGAAATGATTTATAACCTTCTTTCACCTCTCTTCTAGTCTCCTCATCCCCTTGTGTTCTTGGATGTCATTGCTGATGAAACGAAAGGGAGACTACCTCATCCAATAAAAAATATAGATTAGGAAACTTCTTGCCAATTTCCAACCAACAACAAATCGAGGTGTCATGTGCCCTTTATAGGATAAATTATGTAGGCTTCCCTTGAAGAACAAGGATATTGTATTGCATGGAGATTTAAGTAGAAAACTTTAGAAATATGACCATCAAAGGCACTAAGATGATCAACTCATCACCTGGGGAGCAGCCAAATGGTCAAACACGTTACTTGAGATTAATGAAATTGTAGATCTCCATGAAAGCTTTTATTCCGCAGCAATTCATTGAAATAATTGAGATTTTTTATTTTATTATTACTGTTATTTGTATTATTTCCTATGAGGTGAGCTTATCAATCATTCTATTATTATTATTATTATTAGAAAAAATATTGTAGATGAATCCATTATTATCTTTTAAGGAAGATGGGTCAACCACTGCATCCTGTTCCATGTCAAAATCAAACAGCATCAACATCATGCAACTGTGCAAAAGTCACAGATCTACAAGTGGTCAAATCTGATAGAATTATTTTCCTTTTTTGTTTGTACTACTCAGTGACACAAATATAAACTAAGACGGGCACCAAACAAATCCAACGGGTGGAAGCAAATTTGTCGTTTGGGTCTCACCAGCAGCCAAAGATTTATTATCTAATCTTCAGAAAGAAAATATAATTTCTCTCTTCCAACAGTCTGGTGGTTGTCATCCACTCTATCTTGTTGGCAGATGTGATCAGTGATTCTGAACCTTGTTGTCTGAGCTACTGCCCACCCTTATCGATGCTCATGGCTGTCTGAATCTAGTTTCTTTTCTCCTTCATTGCATACTTACGGCACAGCCATCTCTTCTTCCACCTCATACTGCTTCTCTTGGGCAGATCAGAGATAGAACACACATCACAGCTCATATATATATATATATATATATATATATATATAT